GTTGTTGCAGTTGTCATTGCTGTTTTAGCTGGCTGGGTCTGAGTTTGAACCTGCTACCCTAGGTATATGGAGCCGGCGCCCTACCCATTGAGCCACAGGCACTGCCCAGTTGATTAAGTAAAATTTAAAAAAAAATTAAAAATTAAAAAAACTAATATTTAAAAAAATAATTTTAGAAAAAACACTGAATGAAAAACTCAATTTGCAAAATATGACTTTATTCAAGCCATAATAAGCTCCTACAGAGATCTGCAGTGTGGTTAAAACATGATTCTAATATTCCAGTTGGGTATGTCTGTGATTCTGCCTAGTGAGACCAAAATATAAACCGTGCAGGGCAAAGCTGTCACAGGCTGCAGTGAAGAGGGATCCTCAAGTTCCCCACAAAGAAAGACATGAGACTCTGAGGGAAGATGTCACAGAACCCTTGTCAGGCAGGACCCTGACGGGGCTGCAGTTAAGGGAAAGGCTTCACCAAACCTAGCAGGTGTTGAAAGTCAGAAAGGCTCTTTGCTAGACCCCTCTCTAGAAGGACAAGTGGAACAGCAGTCCTTGGCATAAAGGGCAGGAGGCACTCTTACTCCTAACTATGAAAAATTATGTTCTGCTGAGTGCAAAGCTAAGAAATGGGATTGAAATAAAACACAAACAATCCCCATTCAACTCAGATTGTAGCATGGCTAAGATCTTGGAGTAAATAAGTTAGAGCTGTGAAATTAACAGGTGTGAGGCCAGGTGAGTTGGCTCATGCCTGTAATCCCCAAAGAGTTTGAGGTTGCTGTGAGCTGTGATGCCATGGCACTCTACTGAGAGTGACAAGCAAGACTCTGTCTCAAACAAACAACAACAACAACAAAAAAAACCCCCGCAATCAGAGTACACACAAAATTTGGTACACAAGAATGTTCACAGCAGCATTATTCACAATAGCCAAAACATGGGAACAACCCAAATGTCTGTCAAATGATGAATGAACAAAATAAATGCGGTATATCCATACAATGGAATACTATTTGGCAAAAAGAAAAGGAATGAAGTACTGACATAGGCTACAACATAGATGAACCTTGTAAACACGGCACTGAGTAAGAAGCCTGCCACCAAAGTCCACATGTCCTATGACTCTATTTATATGATATCTACAATAGACAAATACATAGTGACAGAAAATAGATTAGCAGTTGCCAGGGGCAGGGAGAGATGGGAGAAGGGAAGGGGTGAAACCTGTGAGTGTGGAGATTCTTTTTCAGAGAATGAAAATGTTCTGAACTTGGTTCTGGTAGTGATGCACAACACTGTGAACATACTAGAAACTTCTGGGTAAACTGCACAGTATGAGAATTATATCTCAATAAAGTTGCTATAAAAAGGAAACAGGAGAAAAAATGCCATACAATCACAAGTTAGTGGCTAGGTGGGTGGACAATTGTTGAAGTCTACCAGTGTGAAATGCTCAAAGTAGCTGGGCATGGTGGCTCACACCTGTAATCCTAGCACTCTCGAAGGCCCACATGTGTGGATCATCTGAGCTCAGGAGTTCGAGACCAGCCTGAGGCCCCATCTCTAAAAAATAGCCAGGCATTGTGGTGGGCACCTTTAGCCCCAGCTACTTGGGAGGTGGAGGCAAGAGGATGGCTTGAGCCCAAGCCTTTTTTTTTTTTTTCTGCCAGGGTTGGGTTTGAACCTGCCACCTCTGGCATGTGGGGCAGGCGCCTTACTCCTTTGAGCCACAGGCACCGCCCCAGCCCGAGCCTTTGAGGTTGCTGTACACCCTGACACCACAGTACTCTAACAAAGGTGACAAGGTGAGACTCTGTCTAAAAAAAGAAAGAAAGAGATGCCCACAATTAATGTGTCCTTGAGGCTATGTGTCCCCAGAGAGGAAATGCCCCAAAGCAGTATTCAGGAAGATGCTTCTTGTACAAAAGACAACTTTGCTTTCAATGACCACAGTTTAACTGTAATATTTAAACATGTCCAGGTATAGCAGGCACTTAAAATATGAGAGATCAGCTTATAAAATAATTGATTTGATAACAATTTAGACTTAGATTAAGAAACTTTCTCTTTTGCATTAGTTACGAGAACTAGGCTGAGATAGCATCAGGTTCAGGGAACTTAGTATTCATTGGTGTGTTTCTTCAAATACGTCACTGAACTTACTGGGTGTGGAGGAAGACTTATAAAGTCTTTAAATCAAAGTTTTCCAAGTTACAGAGGTTATAGGTCCTTCCAATGAACAAGAAAACAATTTTGCTTCAGCTGGTAACACATAAAGTGTTTCAAATAGTAATAAAAGTAAATAGTAAATGGGCAGCTCCTGTGGCTCAAAAGTGTAGGTCACCAGTCCCATATGCTGGAGGTGGCGGGTTCAAACCCAGCCCTGGCCAAAAACTGCAAAAAAAAAAAAAAAATAGTAATAAAAAATTTTTACCAGCTCGGTGCCTGTGGCTCAAGCGGCTAAGGCACCAGCCACATACACCTAAGGTGGAGGGTTCGAATCCAGCCTGGGCCCGCCAAACAACAATGACGGCTGCAACCAAAAAATGGCCAGGCGTTGTGGCGGGCGCCTGTGGTCCCAGCTACTTGGGAGGCTGAGGCAGGAGACTCGCTTGAGCCCAGGAGTTGGAGGTTGCTGTGAGCGTGATGCCATGGCACTCTACCCAGGGGGAATAGCTTGAGGCTCCGTCTCAAAAACAAATAAAAAATAAAAAAAAATTTACCAGTATGTGCCAACAGTTTGGGTTAAATAGATGAGACAAATCATATTATGTAAAATCAGGACAGTAAATTTAGATATGGGGGTTATTTGAGGATTATAATTTTGTTTCTCATTAATTTCATTTTGTTCCTTTTCAGGTCACTACCTGTTAGTGGCTGAACTCACTTTGATAGGAGGCAAGAGAGACAGAGAACTTTGGGGACCATCCTGGTCTGCTCCCCAAGTCTTAGCTTCTGTGTAAATCATTAATCTCAGGCCTCAGTTTCCATATTTGTAACAAAAGAATACTATCACCTATTTCTCCAGGCTTTTGTGAGGACTAAATGAGATGTGTGCCTTGTAGTTCATAGTTCAGCATCTGATGTGTAGTACATACTCAGTACTAGTTCTTTTACCAGGTTATTAATGGTACTTGAGAATAAACCCATTGCCATGAGGTTAACAAATAAAGGCACAATTTAAAAGATGTAAGATACAGGAACTAGGTTTTAAATAAAACATACAAATTTGAATTTTTTTTTTTTTTTTGAGACAGTCTCAGTATGTCACCCTTGGTAGAGTGCTGTAGCGTCACAGCTCACAGCAACCTCAAACTCTTGGGCTTAAGCGATTCTCTTGCCTTATCCTCCCAAGTAGCTGGGACTACAGGCACCCGCCACAACGCCCAGCTTTTGTTGTTGTTGTTGCAGTTGTCATTGCTGTTTTAGCTGGCTGGGTCTGAGTTTGAACCTGCTACCCTAGGTATATGGAGCCGGCGCCCTACCCATTGAGCCACAGGCACTGCCCAGTTGATTAAGTAAAATTTAAAAAAAAATTAAAAATTAAAAAAACTAATATTTAAAAAAATAATTTTAGAAAAAACACTGAATGAAAAACTCAATTTGCAAAATATGACTTTATTCAAGCCATAATAAGCTCCTACAGAGATCTGCAGTGTGGTTAAAACATGATTCTAATATTCCAGTTGGGTATGTCTGTGATTCTGCCTAGTGAGACCAAAATATAAACCGTGCAGGGCAAAGCTGTCACAGGCTGCAGTGAAGAGGGATCCTCAAGTTCCCCACAAAGAAAGACATGAGACTCTGAGGGAAGATGTCACAGAACCCTTGTCAGGCAGGACCCTGACGGGGCTGCAGTTAAGGGAAAGGCTTCACCAAACCTAGCAGGTGTTGAAAGTCAGAAAGGCTCTTTGCTAGACCCCTCTCTAGAAGGACAAGTGGAACAGCAGTCCTTGGCATAAAGGGCAGGAGGCACTCTTACTCCTAACTATGAAAAATTATGTTCTGCTGAGTGCAAAGCTAAGAAATGGGATTGAAATAAAACACAAACAATCCCCATTCAACTCAGATTGTAGCATGGCTAAGATCTTGGAGTAAATAAGTTAGAGCTGTGAAATTAACAGGTGTGAGGCCAGGTGAGTTGGCTCATGCCTGTAATCTTAGCACTCTGGGAGGCTGAGGTGGGTGGATCGCTTGAGCTCATGGGTTTGAGACCAGCCTGAGCAAGAGTGAGACCCCCTCTCTTCCTCGTTTCTAAAAAATAGCCAGGCATTGTGGCAGGTGCCTCTAGTCCCAGCTACTCCGGAGGCTGAGGCAAGAGAATTGCTTGAGCCCAAGAGTTTGAGGTTGCTGTGAACTATGATGCTACAGCACTCTACCAAGGGGGACAAAATAAGACTCTGTCTCAAAAAAAAGAAAAGGAATTAATAGGTGTGAGAGGAGAGTGGGGATCAGAGGAAGAAGTCCACTAAGGGACCAACAAGTCTGGGCAGGCAAATAGAAACCCTGAGTTCTGCAGGGCCAGTGGTAGCTCTCTCAGTAGGTGAATAGTTTACCCTATAAGCGGCTGAAGGAAGGACTAGAGCAGCAGTTCTCAGCCTGTGAGTCGTGACCCAGAGGAACTGTATTAAAGGGTCGCAGCATTAGGAAGGTTGAGAACCGCTGGACTAGAGGGTCGCTGCAAAGAACATCTCACACTTCTGGCTTACCACACTCTTGTTGAACTGTTTTGGGTTCATCCTCCCTGGATGGCAAAGGGGACAGGCCCAAAATACAGACTTCCAATGCAGAGGACTCTCCCTTGGCCCTCATTCCCTCTGAAACATTCTAGGAATAAGTCCGATTTCACTGCTACTTTTTTTTTGTTTGTTTGTGTTTGTAAACTGTAAAAATCAACAAACTAACTCAAAACTGAACACGTGTGATTTTCATCAATTCCTATGCTAAAAAAAAGATGTAGAACAAACAAGAGGAAAATTCTAGTGAAGCTCTATACTCACCCACAGCTGGTGGCTCGCATTCAAGTCTCTAGCAGAAGAGAGTCCATTTTCTCCTTCCTCTGCAGTCCAGACTAAGGACCGCCTGCTGCACAGGGAGGTCGAAGGTGTGCTGCCATCTGCAGGCAAGACAAGAAAAAGCATAAGTGACAGCCCCAATCACCGACTGAAGCCCCTTCCTGTCCTCAGGCAGCTGGAAGACCTGGGTGGAATCCTGGCACCAGGGCCACTGCCTGTCCAGCCACCAACAGTCTGTAACTCTACAATATCAAGGATTCAAGTATTTCTTAACAGTAACAGCAGCAAACCCTTACCCAGGGCTGTTGTTGGCAGACACTGTGCTCAATGACTTACATTTGTTTACATATTTAATTCTCACAACGATGTTAGAAGGTCTCTGCCAATTTGCCTGATTACCAAATCAGACTAAATAATTAAAATGAAGAACTTGATGATATCTCATTTCAAAGGAGGGTTAAATATGAAAACTGTGAGAGAGTCTCAGCATCCCGCAGACATTCCTTTTTCAAATGTTTACCGTGAGTCTGTAATGGACCAGACGCTGTTCTAGGACCTGGGAAGAAAGCAGTGAACTCAAAAGACAAAGTCCCTGCTCTCATGGGAGGGAAGTGACAACAGAAAAGGTGAGAAATGCTGTGCCAAAGAAAAAGCTTATGTGATACCAACGCTGTTAATATTCATTCATTTGTTCGTTCACTTCCAAGTACTGACTAACCATGTCATTTCTTTTCCTCAACTGCATGGCAGGCACTATGCCAGGATTGCAACTGTGGGCAAGAAATAGTCATGACCCCTGCCCGTATAGGGTGCTTATTCACAGAAGAGGAACATTTATTATTAGTCAAATAATCACCAAATTAAATGCAAAGATGTTACATTGTGATAAGCATGATAGCAGAACAGTCCATAGACCTGATGAGAGTATTTCAGGGAGGCCTGGCCTTACCTGGGGTCAGGGGCAAGGCCTGGTATGAAGTGTGGGGGAGCAGCATTCCTGATAAAAAGCACACCATACACACAGGCTGGATCACAGACAGACTTCTGGGAGAGCAGGGAGAGGCTGCCCATACCACTTTTGAGGCTACAGAAATGGTGTGGGGAGTCCTTACATGGCACTCCCAGCCACAAGAGGACTTTGAGAACTGGAGCACCACACAAGGGTCTTAGGCAGAGGAGTAATGTGGTTGTATGTGTGTTTGTATAAGATTATGCTATGCAGTAGGTTACCGGCCCACCAAAGATGTGGATATCCAAGTCCCTGGAGGTTGTGCATGTATTTCCTTACATGACAAAGGGAACCCTACAAATGTGATAAAGTGAAGGGCCTTGAGATGGGGAGATTATCCATGGGGGTCCAAGGCGATCACAAGTATCCTTATAAGGGAGATGTGACTACAGAAGAAGAGTGCCTGAGTGATACAGCATGAGAAAAACCGTTGGCTTCAAAGATGGAGGAAGAGGTCACAAGCCAAAGAATGCAGGTAGCCTCTAGGAGCTGGAAAAGGTAACACAATCATTCTCCTCCTCCAGAGCCCCCAGAAAAAGTACAACCCAGCCAAGAACTTGGTTTTAGGACCTCTGACCTACAGAAATATAAAATAATAAATTTAAATTATTTTAAGCCAATAATCTTGTGGTAATTTGTTATAGCAGCAATAGGAGACTAGTATATACTGGCTTATGTGAAAAAAAATAGAATGGTGGCTGTAAATAAAGGAGGCAGGGGCAGGTTATAGCACAGGCAAGAGATGTGAGAGTTTGTACAACAGTGGCAGACCTGAGGATGGAAAGGAATGGCAGAGTTGAAGGATCCCAGGATGGAAAGAGTCCTAGTAAAAGGTCTTACTACAATCTGGCGGGTATTACTGGAATGCCACAGCAGGCCTCTTTTAGGCTCAGGCCTTGGCTGGCTCACTCTGGCTAGCGTCCAGCACCCTTTATAGAAGAGGGAAGCTCACACCAGGGCTATATTACCACTCCCAGACAGACATAGCTATTACACTTAGCTCCTATTAATCAGAACCTGCCAACTTTATTCCCACAAAAGAGTTTAGGACTCTTTAGGAATAAGCTCTAAGAAATAATACTCAGGCAATTTTTACTCAGCAAAAGGAAGCAATTATTTCTGCCAATAAGTCCTGTAATGAACAGTCTCTCTCACTCTCCTTTTTTTCCTAAACAGAGATTTTGTAATCCTGGAAAAAAGGTATCTAAATTTGAATATATGCATCTCCAACACAGGTGTTGCAGAACCAAAATTAAATACAATATCTAAAAACTTCACGGTCAGTAGAATGATGCAGAAATTAAAGAAAGAATAAGGGCAATGCCTGTTGCTCAGTGGGTAGGGTGCCAGCCACATACACCTAGGCTGGTGGGTTCGAACCTGGCCTGGGCTAGCTAAACAACAATGACAATGGCAATAAAAAAATAGCCAGGCGTTGTGATGGGCGCCTGTAGTCCCAGCTATCAGGGAGGCTGAGGCAAAAGAATTGCTTAAGCCCAAGAGTTTGAGATTGCTGTGAGCTGTGATGCTACAGCACTCTACCAAGCGCAACACAGTGAGACTCTGTCTCAAAAAACAAACAAACAAACAAACAAACAAAAAAACCCAAGAAAGAATAAATGAGAAACTAGGAGACCTTCTTTTAGCATCTACTCCATTCCTATTTAGTAATCCAGATTTACTTAAAAAGTGGGATCCTAATTTGGTCCTGCCTAATGGGGCTGTTGAAAAGAAAAAAACCAACAAGAATGATTTAAGAAAATTTTAGTATTGTCTCTATATTGTGTCTATTCTACTCGAAAAGTATACATATACACCCATCAAGACTAAGTACCTTGGATTGCACTTTGAGGTGACAAGTAAGCCTTAAGAGTACTTGTCCCCTGTGGCTTTGCAGCAGGCCACAGGGACCTAACTGGATCCTAAGAGTATGAAAGGACCAGAAATGCCTGTAGGCAAAATACCAAGCAGTCCTATTAGGGTAGGTGCAAGTTAATTAAGAACTAGATTTTTTTTTCTGGTAACAAAAGTGACATATGAGAAAGTAACAAAATTCTGATACTGGAAAATAAAAATCTCCTAAAGTCCCAACCATGCAGGAATATTTTCTTCCAGTCTTTTTTCCCCAATGATTTTGGTATTGAGAGATATGTATATATGTATATACACACACACACATATCTCATGCTTGCTTTATTTTTAACAAAATTGAGACACTGTATACACTTTTCTTTTGTAACCAGTTTTGTTTTATCTAAGTAACTTTGTGTCATTAAATATACTTTTTAACATGTGGCAGTATTTTTCATCACGTGAAGGTATAGAAATCACTTACCCAATCCCTAATTCTTGGGCAACTGAGTAGTTTCTAACTTTATGATGACATAAGTCACATTGGGAGGAACATCTCTCCATATAAGAATATCCCCAGTTATAAATCTGTAACTCTAATTACTTCCTTAGGGTCATGTTTCCTACATCCATGCATTCATTGTCATTGCTATTTTTCTATAATTAAATATCATCGGAACTATACTAAACATTTGTTTAAATTAAATCATTTCTGCCCTTAAAGAAATGTATTTTAAAAGCAAACTTTATTTACTACTATAAGTGGAAAAGAAGTATCATATGCCACAAATGAAGGCAAACATAAAAATAAGTATGATTTACTTGAAATCAAAACAAAACAACATAGTTAAAATATAGTTAAGATAATGCTACCTCTTTGCTCATTTTGTTCATTCTTTTATGTCAAATGGGAGATTAGGAAGGTTTCAAGAGACATAGTAGCTTAGCACCAAATCGAGGTTTTCCTCCTTCCCTTGTTCAGAAGATTGAAAAGGAACTGAGCAGGGAAATAATTTTCTCATATGTGAGTCAGTGTTAGGCAATGTGGCAAATGTGTCCCACCTACAATTACCCTGCACCACCTGCAATAACTTCATGTGGAAAGCATGCTTTAGAATATATATATTCCTGGAAGTACAAGGTTCCCAAAGGTCACTCATAAAGTCACCATAAATACAGAAAATGGGAAATGTTGCTAACTGTACCTTTATTTACAAAATATTCATTACAAAATTTTACAAAGAGGTGTCCAATGTGCTGTAAAACTTTGTAATGAAAATTCTGTAAATAAAGGTACGTTTCACTACAATTTCCCATTTTCTCTAAGTATGATGACTTTATGGGAGACTTTTGGGATACCCTATAGAATTGAGATCAAACATAAGGACACTTAAAAAAAATTTCTTTCTTTTTTTTTTTTTTTTTTGAGACAGTCTCAAGCTGTCACCCTGGGTAGAGTGCCCTGATGTCACAGCCCACAGCAACCTCCAACTCTTAGGTTTATTAAGTGATTCTCTTGCCTCAGCCTCCCAAATAGCTGGGACCACAGGCACCTGCCACAATACCTGGCTATTTTTTGATTGTAGTTGTCACTGATGTCTGGCAGGCCTGGGCTGGATTCAAACCCGCCAGCTCTGGTATAGGTGCCTGGCGCTCTAGCCACTGAGCTATAGGAACTGAGGCTAAAAAACTTTTGATAAATTAGCTCAAACACTATCTAAGTTAGTTTTACCATAAAAGTGCCTATTTTATATCACCCTCATACATATTAAGTATTATAAACCAAAAATATTAAAATAGTTAAGGCTTTTAAGATTTTTAATGTAAAATAGTCAACAGCTGAATTTTCAAAGGCTATTTTCATACTTCTTCATTGTCCCTGACCCTACTGGTAAGTTTACATAAACTGATATTGTACTTGGTTTAACCAAGCTAAAGTAAACTCAAACACAAGGAAGTGGCTTTAGCATTGCAAATATTTCAAAATGTCTTTGTGCCAGCAAAGGTCAAAAGAGGATCAGAATAGCATGGATTCCAAAGTATACTTTTGGTAAACAAGAGACACAGAGAAGTATTACTCACAAGGTACAATTCGCTACAAATTCTCACCAAGACAACGAAAACTCTAAAAGAATAAACAAACATTTGTGCTTTCCCATCCTGGTGCATTTACACAAATAGGTTGTAGGTTAATGCAATTTTTTAGATTTCTAAAATAGAAAAAGAAAAATGCGT